ACGAGCGGCATCTGTGCACAAGTGCAGCGCGGAAGGGAACCTCATTCCTGCAACGGAAACGACAGGGTTCGACATGCGGCAGACAGCCGAGGCCCCGAGGGCGCCAGGTCCCTTGCCGGGGCCCTCGGAACGCTCCCCGAGCTCGAGCGGCTGAGCGTAGACTTTGAGGGAAACGCCGAGCTCGGCCGGGGGCCTCAGGCTGAGAGAGAGCGTGGCCACGTGAAAGCGTGTTGGAGCGAAACAGCGAAACAACACAGTTTGTGCGAGCCTGGGAGTCCAGAGCAAGACCTGAAGGCCGACCTGCATCCATCCTTGATATTCCTTGATGTCTCCTCCGCAAGCAGTCCAACAACCAACAGCCGAAGCGCCCAGCAAGGGGATTCTTCAGCGAAGGCGAAGACTCGCGGATCCCTCTCCTCACGTGCCCTCTGCAGGCGAGGAGGCGAAGCAGGAGCTCCGTAAGGACCTGTTTGCGCTCGCCGCGCCCAAGAAAGACATCTCCATATAGTAGATCCAGGCCAGAGACGGGCGTCTGGTCGTTTTCAAGGGGGAGTGGGCGGTGTTGGTGTGCTCCAGCTTGCCGCTTCGTAGCCGACTCTCAGCTGTCGCAGCTTGTCCCAGGTTGTGGAAGCTGGCCAGGCGATGATATGCCGCGCAAGCTGAGAGCAGAACACGGAGGGCATTTTGCTCAGGTTTCACTGCTGTTTGTAGGTTCCGAGATGGGGAACCTAGACAGCCTTGCTAATGAGCCTCACGACCTCCAGTATATCCGAGTATGTCTCGGCATTCCCACATGACAGACCTTCCCTATGCTTGGGTGCGTGGGGTCCAGCCGAGCAGGATCCGTCCGAATTCTCCGAGCGAGTAGGGGTATCTGTACCGCACACCATTTCATGCGATAACTGCTGCTAGGGCAGGATCGCCAAACCAGCCAAGCAAAGCTTGCAGGAACCGTCATGACTGAGGTAGTCCCTGAAAGCTAGAGTGGGAGAGCGGTCATGAAGCCAGGGACTTTGTGGTAAAATCTCGTGGTACATGTGGAAAGCGTGTCGGGTCTGGAGCCCCGGGTGAGGCTGTGAGGGAGCTGAAGGGAAGGGGGCACCGGGAGCACCATGTCCAGGGCTCTGGCCCAGGAGCCTTGGATGTGCCCAGCAGCTGGGACTTTGAAGTGCTCACCTTTCGGAGAAATCCCCATCCCACCAGCTCGGTTCATAGCGCGAGCAGCCGAAGGCTGCTGCTTTGGAGGCCATTTCATGCAGATCTTTCGGCATCCAAGGTTTGCTGATGGAGGCCATCTTGTAGGTGGAGTCCGGGACGAAGGCCTAGGACCGTCGCAGGCGTGTCCTCATTTGTTGGACACGTTCTGCCTGTCTGAGTCCGGCACCTGTCGTATCGACATCCTACCATATCCCGCGCATAGGCATCATGCTACACTTTGGTGGTGTTTCATACAGCATTGAGTGCCAGTCAGCAGCACTGCAGGTGTTGGACTCTCAGCAACGCTCAGCATTTGCCTCCGTCATGTGGAACTCAGTTAATATCTGCTCAAGAGGCTGTTTGTGTGACCCATGCGCTTTGCACAGACAGTGTTTACCCGTGCCTAGTTTGCCTGCATTGTATGAATCCAAGAATGCCACCGGTACTTTATTTAGTCAAACACGCGTCAAAGATACAGTCACGTGCCCAAAGTCTTGTAAAACGATAGGAGAACCCCAAAACGATACCCCTTGTCAAGGGGCCGCTTCTAGGAACAATAATATTGGTGCAGCCTCATTTGTTGCGGAATACTGCCGCGTGCAGTCCAGGTGGTTCCGTGATCATGACTAGAATAGCTGGAAGTAGAGCTACAGGGAAGGAGCCTGGCGATAAGCATGCAGCTTACTTGGACAGTAGCTTCAAGGATCGTGGCTTCAATGATAATAGGGTTGCACCCCCAGTCTACTGCTTCAGGCAAGGTTGTGCTTGCTGGAGAGCTTTGCTTGAGCCGGAATCGACGGAGCCGAAGAGGAAAAGCAGTGTTTTCGAAGGTTTCTTTGCTGGGTTTTCAGAGGTTCGTTTGAGCTCCGCTGCCTCCTGAGCTGGGGAAACCTGCCAGAAGTAGCACGATATGCCCCGCAGCTTCCGAGACACAGACGACAAGATGGCACCAAGATCCATTGTACATCATATCAGCACATTAGAGTATATGGAAGTGTATTCGATTTTGGATTTTTTTCGAGTTCTGAAGGCTCAGATCTCGTCCTTCGACGAAATGTCGAAATAGTACTCGGCTACGACACTGCGAAGTTTATCTTAAATGAAAGGGCTTGGAGAGATTTGAGTTGGGACATTTGAACCTCTCCCGCTCTTCGCAAGGCAGGCTGCTAGAGTAACGGTGCCTGCTGGTTTCATCCTCGGCCCCCTGCACCTGTCTACTGTCGTGGGCTTGCAGGGCAGCAGCCATGAGGGATCATGAGGGTAATGAGGGATGGATGCGGGCTTCCAGCTTCAGGTGTTGTGGCCACTAGATGGCGCCCAACATGGGGTCGAGACCGGCAAACGCATTCGATGGCTCCGCCCTTCCCCCCTTCCCGAAGCCTTTACAAGTTTTAGGGCCGTTGAGGGTTGAGGTTTTTGTGGCAGAATCATGAGCAGAGGTTTTTGCAGGTTTCTGTAGTTCCCCCCCCCCCCTGGCGCGGCCATGGCTGCCGAGAACGGGCTGGAGAAGGCCAGGCGACAAAGCTCTGCGGAGCCGACCCGATCCCTCTCCGAAATCCGCAGCTTGCAGTTTAGTAAAACCCTCATGAAAGGCCTTCTCCTGCAGAAGGCGGAGCTGTCGGACTTGCCGTTGCGAAGCTCCGGAGGTGCCACTGCCAGGGGAGTTTCCAGGGGGCGGGGAGGTGTCGGAATGCGCCGCGGAGCGATTCGGAAATGTGAGGTGGCCGGGCTTTAGGTCTCAGCGGCTGGTCCATGTGAGTGCCATGTAAGGACACAGTGAAGACCACAAGTGCCTACCATGCCGAATTTGAAGCACATGGTGAGGTGGGTTTGGTGCTCTTAAAGGCTGCAGGCCCGGATTACCTTGTTCCTTATTTATCCTCGCTTCTCAGTTGCCGTGGTCATGTCTCGTTTTTTTGTGAACCCCTCAGTGAGTTTGGGCTTAGGGTGTAGGGTGTAGGGTTTAGTGTTCAGCGAGGAGGGTTCCGAGTTCAGGGTCTGTAAAGTTTCAGGCTCAGGGTCAGGGCAAGGGTCAGAGCAAGGGTGTAGGGCTGAACAATCAACTCGGCTCGACTTCGCACCCAGACGTCAGTGGAACATAGGTCCTCATGGTGTCTCATCCCATGCTGCTTGCTAGAATCCAAGCAGTCCCCACCCCGGAACTCCATCCCCAGTCCCCCCCCCAACCCCTCGCCCAAAACATGTCATCTCCGTCTTAGACCTTATAGGCTCGAGACTGTAAACCCATGCCATGGCTCTGGCAGAGCCCTTTCTGCGACTGCTGCGCCTCCTTATCTGCTTCCCGTCCCTAGCGGCGCCGCTTTGGAGCTTGGAGGAGGCCTCGCGGCGGCGGCGAGAGCAAAATAGTAAGACAAATGGCAGTGGCGTGTGGGTGGAGTGGGGGTGTAGAAAGAGTGGTGGTACTAACACTCGCAGTAGAAAGCATGAAAACGAACATCGAAACGGTTTTGCAACAATGTAGTGCATAGGTGGTTATAGAGTAAAAGCAAAATTCCCGCCTCTCTGGTATGAGAAGCCTTCAGCCATTTTTTCCCAAACAACGGAGTTCCCGGAGTCCGTAGGCTGTAGCTAAAAACTCAATACCGTTTTCCGGCTGAACAAATCCCTTTGTGTTCTTGTCTGGCCTTTCATCACCGAACCCCGGAACCACAGTCTGTGTACACTCGCCCCGGCTATAGTGTCCGACCCAAGGAGGAGACCCTTCTCGCCGAGTTCAGCGTCGTGCAGACGAGTTCGCAGCTGATACATCTCTCCCCCGTCGAATCCCCGCACTTCGAAGCGAGGAGCCGTTGGCATCCGCGGTTCGACCACCATTTCTGGGATGCTTTCTCACCGTGCGTCTCCTTTTCCTGTCCAGGGATAGACAGAGGTCATTGGCGCCTGATGTCTTGGGGCCAAGTCTTGCCGAGCCTCCTTGAAAACGGCGTTTGCAGGGATTGCATCTACAACGCATGCGAGAAGCCGCGGATGTTCCAGCTCGTCCCTGCACCAGCCAATGCCTTCAGCAGCCTGGGTTTTGTGGCGGTGGGCCTCTTCGCTCTGGTCGTGGCCTTCCTGGACCTGCATGGGCCCCAATGGAGACAGGGACCGGTGATCCGCCACGGAATTCTCTTCGGAACAGTTCTGGTGGCTGAAGGGGTCGCCTCCTTTGCCTACCGTCCTTGACGCTGCAGATGAATGTCCTCGACTGGCGGACAATGCTTGTAAGCTGCGCAGCTCAGGGTTTCGGCCTGGTGATTGCCAGCCAAACTTTGGCTCGTCACCCTGTCAGCAGCTGGCTCTTCGCCATTTGCTGAGCCTAAGTCTGAGTTGTGGATGTTTTTGCTCCATGGACGAAGCCTGCGATAGCTCTGTTTGGCCGATGGTGTGGCTGGCCACTGGGCTCTTTTGCCTGGCGGCTCCCTTGTCTGTGGAGTGGTCTTTTTCCTACCAGTGCTTGCAAGAGCTCCAAGGCCAAGACAGCTCCCAGCTCCGCATCGTGGCTAACGCTCGCCGACACGTTCGATGCTTCGTATGGAGCTCGGTGGCTCTGTGGCTACTCGGATACGCCTGCAAGCTCCTGGACGACCACCAAATCATGTGCCGGCCTTCGTCACTCTTCAGGTTTGTGGGGCTGATGCATCTCGTGATGGCCACCGCTAGGCTCTTGAGCTTCCTCGCGACGAGGACATGCTCGAAGCTCCTCGTAGTGCGTTTGGAATCCGAGCCATTCAAATGCCAAGCGAGCGCTCAGCCCACAAGGGGCGTGGTGGGCGGATCGTTTCCAAACTGATAACCGAGTTGTTGCTCTAATTGCTGAGAGGTGGCTCTTGATGTCCAGGGCCTCCAAGACGTGCACCATCTCGCACTGCAAAGTGTAGTGCAGTCCCTGCCTAAGACGCCTGCTGCAATACATGCCCCAAAACGTCCTTGCAGAGGTGATGCGGACATGCTAGAACCTTTGCAAAAGGTTTCCAGTAGCCTATTGGAAGCTTAAAGGCCCTACACCCAGTCAACCCGCTCCTCGGCCTTCTCCAACTTCAAACCATGAGGTCCGACATAAATCCTAAGCTCCAAGGGCTAAAGCTTGTACTCTGAACGCCAAGCGTGCCGAATGAGGCCTCTGATCAAGCCATGCTCTCACGCAAGCTATGCTGCACTTTGTTCCGCAGAGGCCGCTTCCACGAGGACTGGCCACGGCTGATGTCAGGCCAGACTCCCGACTGGTCCTCTTGATGGTCCGAGATGGTCAGCGGGAGCCATCTTTGGAGTTGTCGGTTTGTCTTACCCGTGCCTTTGACTAGTTGCTGTCGGAAGCGCGATTTCTGCTTCCCTGGCTCGTCTCAGGTCGCTCCAAGGTCATTCTTCGTATGGACTAGCACTTATTGGCTGGTAGGCATAAGCAAATATACATATGTATATATTATGCATAAAATATGCACAGGCAGGTGCGTAGTCTTGGATTCTGAGGTTAAGGCTCAGCGCGCACGGCTTGGTCTTGCGGATTTGGGGGCGCGGGTGGCTGAGATGAAGGATTCTGAGGTGGCAGATTGCATGTCGCTACATAGGGCAAAGCCGTTGAAGATTCAGAGCTCAGTCACACCAAAGCATAGGTCACATTCTTCTGGCTCTACTGCAATTAGCTGGTTAGTTGGGTAGCACAACAGGTTAAAGCCTAAAGTGTCGTTTCTGGTGTTCTGGTCGCGGGCTCGGCTGGGCATGGCGCTGCCAAATGAAGAGCACCTCCGGGCGATGGTCTTTGCCGCGACCTTCCTCGGGCTGCACCTCCTGATCTCGGCGCAGCCTGGGAGCATTTGGAGGGTCGGGTTGGGGTCGCTGCACCACGGTACCTGGGGAAAGCCAGTGTAGGACCATCCCCGCTGATACTCCTTGACGACGAAATGCATCTAGAAGCTAAAACTTCACTCTCAGCAGCAGCTGTTCTTCGAAAGGTACCTAGGCACGGAGGAGAGTCAAGAGGTTTAGGTTTCAGGGCTTTCGAGCACAAATCCCGCGCATGTGAACTCGGAAGCCGCAACACTCCGAGCTTGAAGTTTAGGGTTTAGGGTCATGACTGCGCTTCCAAAAAGGTATGGAAGCGCAGTCATGAGAGCTGAACTTCTGCAAGCCCTGATGCAAAAAGGGTTTAGGGTCAAAGAGGCCTCCTCGCCGGACCACTTTCCCACTACAAAGACAGATTCCAACCTGCACCAAAAGCCACCGAATTTGAAGGCCTCAATTTCCGTAGGGGCTGAGGTAACCTTCAACCTGTAGGGGCTTGTATAATAACCCTACCCTAATTGAACAGGTTAACCTTTTTTGGGCATGTGGCGTCATCAGCCCTTAAGTTTCCAAGTGTAGTTTTTTGGCAGGTCTACCTCAGCGCTGCAGCTCTTATTATCCCCGATTAAGTATCCCTTATAGTAGTCCCCTATATATTTTTCGCCCCTTTTCAGGAGTTTAGACTATAGCTCTTTTCAGCTCGTCCGATGATTTGGTAGTTCGTTATTTGTTTGTTCTTCTTACTACTGCCAGCATCAGTTCGTCTTCCTAAAAACCTAGCGCCCCGCACCCTAGACCCGAAACTTCACCCTTTACTTTAAAGCAACGCAGAACCCGCAGACCCGAAGCCGTTTGGTTGGCTTCCGAGCCTGCCGGGAGCGCAAGTCAACCCTTTCACCCCCCCCAAAACCCCCAGATCCCACCGAATCCTTACACACCCCTAAGCCGCCCCCTAAACCCTAAACCCTAAACCCTAAAAAAAACCCTAAGCCCTAGAAGACGGTATCGTGGTGGACCTTGCCAGGCTTGTCCGAGTGTGACACCCCCCCCCCCCACTAGACTTACCCCCAAGTCTCCCAAAATCCGGCAGCTAAGGCAGGACGTCGGCTCCTTCCTCTTCTGGCTGTTGAGGGGCCCGGGGCCCAAAGTCGAAACGGACCCCTGGGCCTCCAGGTGGGGGAGGGTTTTGGGTTTTATTTGAGTTTAGTTAGGGTCTCGAGTGCAAGCTTCCGGTTCAAGACATGTTGTTTCATTTTTGGTGTTTATGGTTTAAAGTTTAGGGCCTCGGGTTTTGCGCTTTCGGTAGCCGAGGACATGACATGGGGTTGCATTGGCTTTCGGTTTTAGACGGGGATCTCACGTGTCGGGATACCGCCTTCATCTTGGCCTGCTATCTAGGCTCTGTATGCGCCCCGCTCTGCTGTGAAAGTCGATTAACAGGCTTTAGTGCGGCTGATACAGAGTGGGGCTATATGGGCGGTGCTGAGTTTTTGTAGGGATCTTTCGGAATCTTATGGAGTGTCTATATAGTCTATATTCTTCAGTGTCCTTGCGGGGATACTAGCAATACAAACCCCCACGTCATATGGATGCTGAGTTCGAATGCCAGGGCTTTTGCCCGGGGCTTACTATCTGGGTATCAACTGCACCGGATCACTCGGCATCAGACTCACATTATCATGTCAGTGAAACCCTTCACCCTTCTGTCCCTTTTACTTCTACCCCAGACCGCAAACCCTCAAGCCTTCTAACTTATCCCGTAAGCCCCCGCACCTGAACCCTTGAGGCCCTGCAACCTTCTAAACCCCGCATACGTTCAATATGATAAACACTTGAAGAAGCTCTTTTTAAGCCAAGCTAAGCCCCTATGAGCCAACTCCAAGCATTGCAAACATGGGATCCTTTGAAAAGCACGCGTTCTAGTCTGGGGACCCTGGAGGTTACAGATGGCTTTGGCCGAGTCGAGAAGGGCAAACTTCTTTCAGTTCGCGCGCTTCGGATCCTTTGTCGGCGCCGGCGCGTTTCCTGGACGCGTTCTCGGTTTTACTTCGGATGGTGATGGAGGTCTTTCCTGAGTCTGGTCGCAGTCCCAATGCTGCTGATGGTACTAGTAGAAGTAGCAGTGGTAGTAGTAGTAGTAGTAGTAGTAGTAGCAGTAGTAGTAGTGGTGGCAGTAGTAATAGTAGTGGT